GTGCCCCGCCCCTCCCTTTCTTCCTGGACCGCGCCTTGTGGCACCTCCCCCACCTCCGACCCTGCGTTCCACTCGGACCTGAGCCCTGGGCTCCGAGTCCCGGGTGTGGGACGTCCACTCCGTGCCAGCCACTCTCTTTTGTCTCCTACCCGGTCTCCATCGGCTGAGGGAACTTAGAAATTCCCTGGTCCTGCTCCCCAGCCTCACAGCGGGGAAACTGAGGTCCGTGGCGGGGCGGGCCCCTCCTCACCAGCGTATCCACACAGCCGCCATGGCCGAGCCCCTGAAGGAGGAAGACGGCGAGGACGGCTCTGGGGAGCCCCCCGGGCCAGTGAAGGTGGAACCCGCCAACACCGCTGCCTCTGTAGCAGCCAAGAACCTGGCCCTGCTTAAAGCCCGCTCCTTCGATGTGACCTTTGACGTGGGGGACGAGTACGAGATCATCGAGACCATAGGCAACGGAGCCTACGGTGTGGTGTCCTCTGCACGCCGTCGTCTCACCGGTGAGCTTCACTGTGGTGTACCGCTCACACATGTGAGAAAGCTGCCCCATCTCAAACAGCCGGGAAGGAAGGCTGGGATGCAAATTCTGGTTTGTCAACAAACATTGGTTATGTGCCATCTGGGTGCCAGGCTCTGTGTTGGGGACAGTTCTCAGAAACTATGGCATGGTGGTTTTGCCAGCACATCAGCCTACTTCCTCCTTAGAAAAATGACAATCCCAATTAGACCAGACTGGAGATCCTGTCCTGGGTTTCTAAAAGAGAAATGTGTTCTGGAGCTGAGACTGGTGCAAGGAATTGGTGGTGGGATGAATGAGGTCTGAGATGTAGAGAGTGGTTGGGAGCACAGGCATTACAGAGTCTAGACCTTACCACTAACTAATCATGCAACCCTCCAAAAATTACTGAGACAGGATTTCCTCACCTCTAACTTTCAGCTGTTAGTCCCTGTCTCAGAAGATAGATATGAAGGGAAAATCTGATAATGTCTATAAAGTGCTTAGCACAGGGCTTGGCATTAGCAGGTACTCAGTATGTAGTAGCTGTTATTCAGTATATGGTAGGTGGTATTTGCATCCTAGATGAGAGGTGTTGAATGGGGCTTTGTGCCACTCTGCAGCTGCCCCAAGGTACCTTATAGTATTTGTCTTTTCTCTGCTCCCCAGGCCAGCAGGTGGCCATTAAGAAGATCCCGAATGCTTTTGATGTGGTGACTAATGCCAAGCGGACCCTCAGGGAGCTAAAGATCCTCAAACACTTCAAGCATGACAACATCATTGCCATCAAGGACATCCTGAGGCCCACTGTGCCCTATGGCGAATTCAAATCTGTGTAAGGAGTGGGGTTGGGAGCGGGAGGCAGAATTGGGACCTTTTCTGAAGGCTGGGACTGTATTGCCAAAGTTCTGGAAGGACAGCTGAATCTAGTGTAAGGAAAATCCCACAGTTCCAGCACCACTGGTTCCCCTAGGACTCTGCCAGGGACAACTGTGATTCCTCAAGAAGGGTACAAGTGTTAGAATTTTAGAGAATCTCAGTAATATAGGATGGTAAACATAGGACACTCATATTATAACCACATCCTCCTTTTCCCATAGCAGACATTACTAATCAATCACAAAACACTTTCCTACAGAAAATGGACAAGATACCACAGTTTTCATCATAGCCTTTCAAGCAGTCACTACCAAACAATGGAGATGACTTCCAAACTAAACCTATTGGCCAGCCCTGGTTTAGTCCAACCTCTTTTCTCTGATGAGGAAATAGATCTGGAGAGAAAAGGGATTTAACTTCACTTAAGTTCATGGAAAAGTTGTAGAGACTCTAGAATCTTCATACCATGCAGTTGACCCCCTACAGAATCTGAGGGTAAGGCCATTATGCGTCTGGAGTCAGGAGGGGCATGGTGAGGTTGGGACTGGAGTGTGGGCAAGACAGCCCACGCCTCTCTCCCCTGTCCCTTCTAGTTATGTGGTCCTGGATCTGATGGAGAGCGACCTGCACCAGATCATCCATTCCTCGCAGCCTCTCACACTGGAGCACGTGCGCTACTTTCTGTACCAGCTGCTACGGGGCCTCAAGTACATGCACTCAGCTCAGGTCATCCACCGTGACCTCAAGCCCTCTAACTTGTTGGTGAATGAAAACTGTGAGCTCAAGATCGGTGACTTTGGCATGGCACGGGGCCTGTGCACCTCACCTGCTGAGCATCAGTACTTCATGACCGAATATGTGGCCACACGCTGGTACCGTGCCCCTGAGCTCATGCTTTCACTGCATGAGTATACGCAGGCGATTGACCTGTGGTCTGTGGGCTGCATCTTTGGTGAGATGCTGGCCAGGCGCCAGCTCTTCCCAGGCAAAAACTATGTGCATCAGTTGCAGCTGATCATGATGGTGTTGGGTACCCCATCGCCAGCTGTGATTCAGGCTGTGGGGGCCGAAAGGGTACGGGCATATATCCAGAGTCTGCCACCACGCCAGCCTGTGCCCTGGGAGACAGTGTACCCAGGTGCTGACCGCCAGGCCCTCTCACTGCTGGGGCGAATGCTGCGTTTTGAGCCTAGTGCCCGCATCTCAGCAGCTGCTGCCCTTCGCCACCCCTTCCTGGCCAAGTACCATGACCCTGATGATGAGCCTGACTGTGCCCCACCCTTTGACTTTGCCTTTGACCGAGAAGCTCTCACCCGGGAGCGGATTAAGGAGGCCATTGTGGCTGAGATTGAGGACTTTCATGCACGGCGTGAGGGCATCCGCCAACAGATACGCTTCCAGCCTTCTCTCCAGCCTGTGGCCAGTGAGCCTAGCTGCCCTGACATTGAGATGCCCAGTTCCTGGGCTCCCAGTGGGGACTGTGCCATGGAGTCACCTCCGCCAGCCCCATTGCCGTGCCCTGGCCCTGCACCCGACACCATTGATATGACCTTGCAGCCACCCCTCTCCTTGGCCAGTGAACCAGCCCCTCCAAAGAGGGAGGGTGCCATCTCAGACAACACCAAGGCGGCCCTCAAAGCTGCCCTGCTCAAGTCCTTACGGAGCCGGCTCAGAGGTGCCTTACAGAAGCAGCTGCTGACTGGGGAATAGGGTGGCAGAAGAGGGACCCTGGGCTTAGACAGGGTCACAGGCTCTTACCTTTCCCCTGTCCAACTTCCCTGTAGATGGCCCCAGTGCCCCCTTAGAAGCGCCTGAGCCTCGGAAGCCAGTGACAGCCCAGGAGCGCCAGCGGGAGAGGGAAGAGAAGCGGCGGAGGCGGCAGGAGCGAGCAAAGGAGCGGGAAAAGCGGCGGCAGGAGCGGGAGCGCAAGGAACGAGGGACTGGGGCCTCTGGGGGCCCCTCCACCGATCCCCTGGCTGGACTGGTGCTCAGTGACAATGATCGCAGCCTGCTGGAGCGCTGGACTCGCATGGCCCAGCCCCCAGCCCCCACCCCTGTACCAGCCCATGCCACAGTAACAAAACCTCCTTCAGCCCAGCCCACCAGTCCTGCTGGCCCTGTAGCCCAACCCACTGGACCACCACTGCAGCCTGCAGGCTCCACCCCTGGTCCTGCACCACAGCCTGCCTGCCCACCCCCTGGCCCTGCTGGCCCACCTGGGCCTGTCCCTGGCCACGCTCCACTCCAGACCACCACCACTTCCAGCCTCCTGGGCCCCCAGTCGCTTGTGCCACCCCCTGGGATACCTGGTTCCAGCACCCTGGGTATTCTGCCTTACTTCCCATCTGGCCCACCCCCTCCAGATCCCAGGGGGCCCCCTCAGCCCTCCACCTCAGAGTCACCTGATGTCAACCTGGTGACCCAGCAGCTGTCCAAGTCTCAGGTGAGAGGAGAAGCCCAGGCTGTGAGGACACCTAGATCTGGGCCCAGGGAAAAATGGATTTGGGAAGTCCTTGCAGTTTGGTGGTGTGTCTTGTTCCATGAAAACTGAGCAGCAGATAGTGCATTTTCTCTGAACTTCTGCCCTTGCTCATGGAAGGACCTTAGCGCTGGGGACCAGGTTGCTGAGAGAACAGGGAGGCTTCCTGGGAAGCGCCTGACCTCGCAGTGATCGTTGAGGCTGGCGCTGTCCCCACAGGTATCCGGGCAGAGCCTTGAGTGGGATCAGTATAGGGGTTCCTGCAGACCTCATTCTGCTCTGGTGGTGCCTGCATTCTGACCTGCCATTATGCCCTACAGGTGGAGGACCCTTTGCCCCCAGTGTTCTCGGGCACTCCAAAGGGCAGTGGGGCTGGTTATGGTGTTGGCTTTGACCTGGAGGAATTCCTAAACCAGTCTTTTGACATGGGCGTGGCTGATGGGCCACAGGATGGGTAAGTTGGCTGGACCTAACTTCTAGAATGAACTATGGGTTCCTGGTGCAGGAGGAGCTTGCCTCAGCTAACAACTCTCCCTGCTTCCCTTTCCCCTGCAGTCAGACAGACTCAGCCTCACTCTCAGCCTCCCTGCTTGCGGACTGGCTCGAGGGCCATGGCATGAACCCTTCGGACATTGAGTCTCTGCAGCGTGAAATCCAGATGGATTCCCCGATGCTGCTGGCTGACCTGCCTGACCTCCAGGAGCCCTGAGGCCCATAGCCTGTGCCTTGGTGCCAGGGGAAGATCCAGCTTCAAGGCCTACAGGAGCATTCTCAAGGGCTGGAACCTCTGGCCCAGCAGGGGGAGCTTGGCTTGGGATTATTCTACAGGTTCATCTCAGACCCACCCTGCAGCCTTAAGTAGCCACCTGAGCCACCACCGAGCAGTGACAGGATCAGAAAACCCCTATTCCCCGGGTGATCCTTTTCAGTATTATATTTTTATTGTGTAATTTTATTATTAGTCGTTCTTTTTGCCATCGAAATGAGGCCTGTGAAATAATAAGGTTCCCTCTAGCACCTAATTCCAGGTATCTTTTCCAGAGTGTGCTGTCAGTAGGGAAATGGGGAGGAGCCAGACTTCACCTTTGGGGGCCAAACAAATGTAATTGTGTGCACAACAGCCAAAGTCACTTGACTCAGTCCTGAGGTTTATTGAGACCTCCACTCCCCACCTGCTTCCAGCCTCGCAGAAGTTGTCCTCTGCCCCTCACATGGTCATACTTCAACCCTAGGGTAGGTGGGAGGACCTCATCTATGCCTACCTTGATCGTGGCTGTTTTCAGATGGCATGCAGTAGCTGTGATGGAATACAGTTTTGGCATTGAGCTTTGGGGGCCTGAGACACGGGGTGGGGGGAGCTGAGTATGATAGTGAGATGGGGTTAGGGGGTCCATGGTGCTTACCACTAGCGAATAAGTTGGTGGGAGGAAGGTGAAGGAGGAGAGATTCTGAGAACAGCCAGGGGGTTGCTGGGGCATGGTAGTAGTGGCCACACGCAGGTGGTCTGGCATACTTGGTGTTGATCAGATTGGCATGCCAGACTGGCCTCAAGCAAATGAGCCCACGGTGAGGAGGCTGGCTCTGGTGGCAAAGGAGCCTGCAGCCTGGGAGAGCAGCCTGGCTCTCCACAGTTGGTACAGGGAGGAGGCAGCTCAGTCCTGTGGAGCCCAGCCTCTCAGAGGAGGCCTGGGAAGCTGGTTGGCAGACAGCCTCAGGTGAAGGGGAGCGGAGACCTGGCTTTGAGGTGGGCGCCCGGGTGTGACAGTTAGCTGGAGCTAGAGCCATCAAGTCCCCTGTGAGAAGCAGGCGCTAGAGCTGTAGAGCAGACTGGGGGTGGGGGGCACAGGCACAGCAGGGGGAGCACTCATGGAGCCGAGGAGCAGCCAGGGGAGCTTTGGGGCTTGATGGGGCCAGCCCCTCAGGCCCGGCGTATTTTCATCTCAGTGCGCTTGAGGGAGTAATAGAAGCCCTTCCACTGCGCCCAGTTGATGCCGTTGGCATAGGAGAGGTGGGAGCCGCCCAGGTAAAAGCCGTTGAGGTTGGCGAAATGGCAGCTTCGGAACCAGAAGGCCCCGGAGGAGAGGGCAGCGCAGTTCTGCACAAAGAGGTCCTGGTCCCGGTCGAAGGTGGAGAACTTCTGGCCGCTGTGGTAAGACAGGGAGTCTCCTGGCAGAGAAGAAGGGTATGAGTTGCTGAAGCAGGGGTCTGAGCCCTGAGCTTGCCAGGAGGGGGTGACAGCAGTAGTGGTGATGCTGTGAGGGCTTTCGTGTTAGCCTGGCAGGATGGGGCACCCTTCCGGAGCCAGATGTCGGGTAGCTGTGCTTCTGCAGTGAAGAGAAACAGCTGCTCCTCTGGCTGCCTGGAGGGGGTGGGCATGGCTTCTCCCCAGGGCTGAGGCCCAAGCCCGCTGGGAGCCAGCCATGACCCTTCCAGACCAGGAGGGGGTCAGGGACCAAGCTGGGCAAGGCCAGCCCTGCCTTTCCCCCCACATTTCCTCAGTCCATCAGGAGGGGGATACCTGCCCCGCCGTCCTCAAAGCCCGCCACGTAGAGGGAGTAGCCATCCTCTTCAGCACTGACTGCATTGGGCGAGATGGAGAAGTCGGCGTACTTGGCATAGGCTGTGTTGTTCTCAAAGTCCTCCAAGTCCACTCGCAGTTCGTACTTCTGCTTCAGTGTCAGAAGGTGCAGGTTCTGCAGCCCTGAGGAGAGGAGGGGCAGCTGGTCAGCAAGGACCTGGCCCCGGGGCAGCCCCCAGCCTGCCTGGGCCCCACCTTACCCAGCCAGTATTCCCCGTCTGCACGGCCGAAGCCTAGCTTGTAGTCGTTCCAGCCCCGGAAGAAACTCACTGAGCCATTGAATCTCTTCTGGAAAACCTGGAGCAGAGATGACAGGCCTGGATTTTCAAGGGTCCAGTGGGCAGGGGCCTCACCCAGGTATGGATCCTGTGGTGCTGAGCTGGTTTATTAAAGGACTGAGCTGGGGGTCTAAAGCCAAGCGCATGCTGGCACCCTTCAGGGAACAGCTACTGAGTGCAGGGAAGAGGTTAGGAGGGTGTTCAAACACGAGTAGGTGTCCTATGCTGGCTGTGTGACGTTGAGTGAGTTCCCTCACCTCTCTGGGCTTCAGTTACTTATCTATAAAAGGTACGTTCCTCCCAGGGTTATTGTGAGGATTATGTGCCCTGGGTATTGCTATCCCCAATTTAGAGATGAACAAAGACTTCCAGGGGTGAAGCCTGGTCACGCTCTGGGACTAAAACAGCTTCTGTTCCCCTCCACTCACCGTCCACTTCCCGCCCTCGGTGGTCATGTCACAGAAGACAGGCACAGGCACGCTGGGGCCCAGGGGGTAGATGAGATACACGCCGTCCGCCTGGTAGCCCTGGGCATAGATGTCATCGCAGTCCAGGGGCTGCTGGAGACAGGCCTTCTCTAGAGCTGGGGGGTGGGGGTGGGAGGGTGAGGAGAAGGGGGCTAAGGCATAACTCACCTCGGCACCCCACAATTTGCCTCCATCCCCGGGGGCAGGGTACTGTGTCACAAGAGACTGCAAGGTTTCTTGGACAGTAGGAATGCTCAAAGATCGTCCCATCCACCTGACCCCTTCTGTGGAGCGGGAGCTCCAGTCCTGCAGAGCTGGCTGACTCCCAGGAAACGGCAGCTCAGAGCCTTTCTATGCCCAGCCTGCTGGCCGGGCTGCATTTGCAAACGTGCTGCTTACCATCTCCCCGGATCCCGGAGGCCTGGGGGGCGCAGAAGGGAGCGAAGAGAAGCAGCAGCAGCGGCAGGGCCAGGAGGGCCTGGTGGCAGGAAACCAGTCACCTCAACACAGTCCTTCCCTCCAGCCCCAGAGCCCTTCTGCTTTCTCTGCACTTGTCCCAACACACACACTGCCTGCTGCCAGGAACCCCGCTCTTGGGGACGGCTCAGTGCCCTCTTAGAGCTTTAGCTGGACCATGCGAGCCCATGTGCTTGTCTGTCTCTGCTCGGGGTCCACACAGGGCTCTCCCCCACCCAGGGCCCCGTACCTTCATGCTGCCAGTTCGGCTCAGAGCGGCTGGGTGTCTGCTGCCCCAGACTGCAGCCGCCCAGAGTTATGTGCTGGGCCCCAGCCAGTGGCCCCAGCCCCACCCCCTGGAACTGCAGAACCCCCCTCTCCCCATCCTGGGCACTGAACCAGCATCTGCTGGAGCCAGGGGACCACCTGTGTCTCATTAGGCCTGTCAGGGGCAAAGTACTGCAGACATTAACTCTCACTGGCTCAGCCCAGAAGATGGTTTTATTTTTCTCCTCTCCTTCCCTGGCTGTGTGTCATTGGCTATTGAGGGCAGGCTGAAGGGTGGTGGGGGGGTGAGTATGCCTGGGTTCTGAGGAGGGGAGGCCCACGGGGTGCGTAGGGGGATCAGCTTCAGAGCTCCTGATGTCGGCCAGGCCGGGGTGGGGCGGGTGAAGAGGCAGCAGGGGCCAGGCAGGCTCCTGGCAGGGCTGGGACATTTCTAAGCCATGAGCACGGCTTGCAGGCGTCCAACTGCTGTCTGCTGCAGTTCAAGCCAGGGCCCCTCTCCAGCCCCCTCTCCCCCTCCCAGAGTCCCCCAGGGATCGTCTGCTCACTCACCCAAACATAGTACCTCTTTGTTTTTTCACTTCACCATCCCCCTTTCTGTTTTCAAACTCCTCACTTTGGCCCCATCCAACATCAGATTCCCCTCTAGGCCACTCAGCCATTGTGCTGTTCCCCCGCCTCAGGCCTCGAAAGCCCACCTCTTCCCTTCTGGGCCCCACGGAGCCAAGGTGCGATCCTGTCTGCCTCAACCATCCCTAGGACCGGGTGTTCCTTTTGTCACTCGGTCCTCTGGCCGAGCCCTCTCACCAGGGTGCTTGTCCAGCCTCTTCATGGGTCTCCCTGCTTCTTCACAGGCTGCCCGAACACTGCCTCTGCTCTCACCACCTGCTTACAGCCTCAGTGGCTCCCTGTCACCTCAGACTGAGGCTAAATTTCTCACCTTGGACTTGAGAGGAATGTGAAGTCTGGCATACCATAAGGGCCTTATCGCTTGCTTGTAACTCATACAGTCTAGCCACCAGCCTTCCCCTGCCTTGCCTGCTCTGTTCTCTGGGGCCCACCTGAGTGGTGGGCCCACCTCTGCTTGGCCATGAGTGCCAAAGGGTAGGTCTCTCATTCCTGCACTCTCAGCACCCGTCACAGAGCCTGGCACAAGTCCTCGTTCACAAATCAAATATCTTCTGAGCATGTACTTTGTGCTGGCTGCTGGGGATACAATATCTGCTCCCAGGAGTGGCAGACAGGCATTAGACAGTTCATTGCAAATGTGATGTGTGTTATGAAAGGACCTTTGATGATGAATGTGTTAGCTTTTAACTTCCATATTACTGCCCTAAACCTCACATTCCAAGAAACCAAGACCCATCACTCTTATCGTTTAACCTTTCCAATGGCCTCTCATTCCGGAGGGCTTGGACCTATCACTCCAGTCAGGCGGAACGGAATGACTGAACCACCCTAACCCACCCAAAACTTCAACCCGTTGCTCGACAAGAAAAACGGGCTCAGCGGTTAGAGCATTGGCCTGCGGTCCGGAGAGACCCGGGTTCGGTTCCCGCTAAGGGCATGTACTTCGGTTGCAGTTTGTCCCCGGCCCTGGTTGGTCGTGTAGGTGGCAGCCACTCGATGTATCCCTTTCACATTGATGTTTCTCTCTCTCTCTCCCTCCCTCCCACTCTATCTGAACAAAAATTGGAAAAATGTCCTCGGGTGAGGATAAATAAATAAATAAATAAAATCCATTAAAAAAAAAAAAATGAGTTTCAGGAGACCCCAGCCCCTGACCAATCAAGAACTCAGGAGGCCCCAGGCCCAACCAATCAAAGATGACCATGTCTCCTCAGCTGAATGATCACCCGCCCAGCCCTAAGTTTAAAAATCACTAGTCTGTACAGGCCAGGCCGGTTGCTACTCTCTCCTTAGAGGTAGTCCGGCAGGCTGATTCCCAGTAAACCTGCACTTCTGGAGACCCCGCACCGCCTCGTTCTTACAGAATGAACAAATGAAATATTCAGAGGTGCACAGTAAGAAAGCTACTCTGCCTCAGGTCCCTTCCTAACTCCTTAGACAAGCCCCGCTGGCCTCGTTGGCCTGCTTCTGTAACTGCTGGTAGCAGTTGCCTCTCGTGTCATATCCTGAAAGTTCTGGAGCCAGGCTGCCTGCATTCAAGTCCAGGTTGTGCCACGTGTTGGCTGGGTGATCTTAGACAAGTTACCTAGCCTCTCTGTGCCTTGGTTCCCTTCTCTGTGAAAATAAGGATATTAAAACTATCTCCTTCAAAGGAGTATGCTAAGGATTGCATAACCTCAAGTACTCATGGTTGGTAACTACTAAATGTTAGCTATCTTCATCATAAACAATGATTGTTCTTACATGAATGGGTTTTTGTCCTTGTCTGTAGAAAAGATGGTTGCCTGCCCCTTATCCATTCTTCCCTGGGTCCCGAGTAGTAAGATCCTGAGTTTTAGCTGGACTGACTGTCTAGCCTCCCTTGGTGAGGCCACATATCTGAATTTTGGCCAACAAGATGCAAACAGCAGTCGTAAAGGTAGGTATCCATTCACTCTGTCTGCACTCTGTCCAGGTGCTGGGCATGATGGTGGGAGCTCAAGCTGCCATCGTGCACAGGATGAAGCCCATCAGGGATGGTGGAGGGGTGGTCTGGGAGGAGCTGGGTCTCTTACAATGTCATGGAGTGAGCCCAAGGCCAGCTTTGGGTTGACCTCTAGGCCTGTTCCATGTGGAAGAGAAAGAAACTATCTGGTTTAAGCCTCTGTTGTTTTTCCTGTTACCCACTGCTGAATGTAACCCTAATAGAAATGCCAGCTAATTTTAGGACAGGCTACAAGAAGGAAAATAATGAAAAATCAGTCATCAAAACAAATAGTAAAATGTGTTCTAAGTCAAGTATCAAAGACTTTAAGCAATGAGGTGTCAATCATATTTTGCCTATTCGTTTTTTATTTAATATGTTTTTATTGATTTCAGAGAGAGAGGAAGGGAGAGGACAAGAGAGAGAAACATTGATGAGCGAGGACCACCACGCTGCTGCCTCTTGCACGTGCCCCGGCCGGGCCTCGCTGTGCATGGGATGAGCTCAGTCAGCAGCCACAGCTGCCAGCGCTTGCCTGTTAGTTTTTCTGGTTTTAATCCTCACCTGAGGATATTTTCCCGTTGATTTTAAGATAGAGTGGAGGGAGGGAGGGAGAGAGAGAGAAAGACATGGGTGTGAGAGACACATCGACTGGTTGTCTCCTATACCACACCAACCAGGGCTGGGAAGAACAGCAACCAAGGTACGAGCCTTTGACCGGAATCAAACCCGCGACTCTTTGGTCCGCGGACCAACACTGACTGCTGAGCCAAACTGGCCAGGGCAGCCTATTAGTTTTTAGAAACACCATGTATGTGGTTGCAGCAGAGCAGGTGTCTGTGCCCTGGCTGTGGTGTGAGCGGGGGCGGGGGGAGAACAAGGCGGCCCAGCCAGAGGCGGTCCGTCAGCGTCTGCAAAGACTGACCGGAGGAGCTCGGACACTGACAAAGGCCTTAGTCGGCATTGGTGGCTGCCCAGCCTGGGAAACTTCTTTCCATGGTTGGGGGTTCCCCCTCATTAGAAAGGGGGGTGCTTGTTTTCCCAGGCTTCCTTGAAATGTGTTTGAAGGCACATGATTTTGGTTCAGCCAATCAAATGTACTGCCCTGGGTTTCATTTTGTGAGGTGTTGGTTAGAGAAGCAGGAGCGTGAAAAATCCATTCTTGGGGTGATTCCGGAGGTATCTGGGTTCCAGGGGTCTCCGGCTGGTTGGAGGTGGCTTTGCAGGCGCAGTGCTGGCTTCGGCTGCCCGGTCCTGAACTTGGCCTCGGAGCTCTCCTGGCTGCTGATTTGCTCTCCCTGTTACCTGTTTGAAAAAACTCCCAACTCATACGGATGAAGATGTTCACCAACTTGGACTGACTGTTGGGAGGCCTTCAAGGCCTCGGAGTTGCTGAGAGACTGGAGAACTAGCTTGACCAGGGCTGAGGGGGAGCTAACTGCTCAAAGCTCTGAAACAGGCCCTAAGGAATGGTCTCGTGGTGGGGACAGTCTGCCAGGAAGACGTTCATTGCACAGGGCTGTGGACAAAGGTCTGGTCAAGAGCCAGATTCCAGGAGGTGGGAGCACCCCATCCCATTGGCCTTGCTTGGGTCATTTGCCTACCTTCTCCCTCCATTCCACCTTGCTCTGCCCTGCTCTGTGCCCAGGGCATCACCAGGTTCCCATGGCCCCTGGCTTCTGGCTGGATTTGGTCAATGGGAGGCACACACCGGAGATGGGAGAAGAGAGAGGTTGGGGTAGTTCTCGCTGGCTCAAGGCCTACCCAGGACTGCAGTCTTGGCAATGGCTGTGCCCCTCCCCCATTACAGCTCCTGCCGTAACCCCTCACTGGCCCTTCCTCCCCCACCTCCTGCTAGTCCCAGGCAGCCTCAACAGCCCAGGCTGGGTTCCTTGATACACACACTGAAGTAAATAGTCCCTTTCAAATTCTCTTAAAAACAAACAAAACAGCTGGGTCTGCCTTTCTTTCCTGCCAAGGTCTTTGGTTCTTCTAAAAGCCCAGTGGAATGTCTGGGACAACAGCTGAGGACAAGACCCCAGGCTACACCTCTGATCATCACCCACCTTTAGCCTGAGCTGCAGAAGGCTGAGCACAGAGCTCTCAAGGAGGGGAAAGGATGTGTCCCCAGCCCGAGCCAGAGGGGGCTCCTAGAGGGATGGGTGGTCTGCCAGAAAGACTATGGCCGAGCTCTCCAGACCCAGCCCTTCCCCAGAGGCTGCTACTGTGGCAGGGTGGAGGGACCGGAAGACAGCTGCGTGCACGCTGGGCCTGCTCAGCCATCGGCGTGGCAAGAACGCGGTATTCCTTGGGGCCCGGTTGGCGCTGGGGGACCTCGGGTCAGTTGGGATTAGGACCCACTCTAGTGGCCTCATTTGAACAAACTGAGCTCTTTAAAGGCCCTGTCTCCAAACAGTCATAT